TGCAATGTTTAAGCACACAAGAAAAAGAAGCGATTGATAGTGTGAAGAAAGGTCTAAAGTGGATAAATGAGAGAGAGAAAAGGATGTGATCTATATGAGACACGGTGTTCGGGTATTATACAGGCTATTTTAAAAGTTGTTACTTCCTCCTGAGTTAAGACAAGCTAGAGAGAGAGAGAGAGAGAGAGAGAGAGAGAGAGAGAGAGGGAGGAAGAAGTGAGAAACTCTTACCTCTATGCAGTCTAATTTCAGAGCGTGTTGATTTTGGAGTGGCGTCGCACCACACTGCACCTGGATCTGTCAACGGTGCTTCTCTTCCACCTGGCTCCTAATTTGAGAGATACAAACAGTTAGATTATGGCATATGGGATACACAAACTCCATGTAATTACACCTATGAACACTAGGGGCTCCAGACTAGAACTGTTACTTTGAAGACACTTCATAATGAAAAACAAAACATTTATAGCTAAGCTTGCTTCAACATTGTCTACACAACTAAATGTATGCAAAAGCTTCAAGCTGTCTATCTCTATAGATAGATCGGCATAGATCAAGCCTTTGTATGTGTGTGCATCTTCCTAGTGTATTTACTAAAGTCACATACTGATACAATATGGTAGTTAGGGCAAAATGGCTTAATTGTTGCAAACTTTTTATTATTGAATTAGCACTTAGTCTGGAGTCCTGAGACATGAACAAACACAAGTCAAACACTTGCTCAAGCGACATTTGACTTCCAATCAACAGAAGCAGCAGCATACGGGTTGTTCTTCACAACACAACAGTGGGTTTCATGGTATCAAAGAGGAGATACCTGTGCAACACATTTTAACAAAGCATATCTGTGTAGTCTATTATTTGCTATACCAATACAATGCTGACAATACGGTGGGAACGAAGCATACCACTTGAATATCCTGCTAAATGATAATGCATAGCCACAATCACAACACAGCAACATTTTAACCAAACTGTGCCAAGACTAATACATAGACAAATATGCAGAGCAATGCAGTCAGGTGGACAACTACAAATATGATAAAGCTTTGCCTAAAGACTGGGATAAGGGGTGTAGGGTATACAATCAACTTCTAAGTATCTGATGTACAGGCTTAAACCTTCTGCATCCACAGCCGAGTCACTATGGTGGACCTGTGGTGAAGGCTATATAACTGTCCAAACTTTCTCAAAACTAAAATGATTGAAAATGGAATTGACCCTTGGTGGCAGTTTAATTGACAGGCAATCCAGCTAATTGTAATGCCAATATTCTGTACCCCAATCACTGTCCACCATGTTGTCAGACGAGCTTCATAGTAGAGCAGGGATCACCAAACTTGTTCCTGGAAGGCCGGTGTCCTGCAGATTTTACCTCCAACCCTAAAAAACACACCTGAACAAGCTAATCAAGGTCTTACTAGGTATTCTTGAAACATCCAGGCAGGTGTGTTGAGGCATGTTGGAAGTAAACCCTGCAGGGACACCGGCCCTCCAGGACCAGGATTGGTGACCCCTGTAGTAGAGTAACATGCTCATATGCAGACATCCCAAGTTGGGCAAAGTAATTTCTGGGGGCGACGTCAATCATATATGGGTGGTGGACCAGCCGTTGGTTGAGTGACCTTTTGGTAGAATGGGAGGGTGGTTGGCTTGGGAAGGGATAGATGGGGTGGGAGGCGTTGATATGGCCTGGTGGGTGTTGGTCGGGCATGCAACGTGTGTGTAGAGGGCTAGTTGCGCAAGCTGTATTTGAAGAATTTGAAGAAGGGGAAGGGGTGGGTGGGTGTTGCTGGGAGTTGTTGACGCCTCCATTTACAAGACATTATCACTCATTTGCAGGCATCAGGGAGTCACTATGCATATGCAAGAGACTTCTGGGAGACTTGGAATGTCTGCATAAGGGACTTGCAACCCAGAGAACAAGTTCCCAGAAAAGCTTCACCATGGCTGATTTTGGATGCCGGATAGAAGTGTGGCGGAGCTTGAAGAACTTTAAAAAACCCCTCCAAAGTATAAATGCTATAAGTCAAGACACACTGAACTGATAGTGACTGTTGTGGGTGCAAATTCGCACCCATCTTAGAACCATGGCTGACTCAGAAGTGTGGTGGGGCATTCAGAAGGGTCCATTGCCTAGTTTCTTTGAGATTGCTATTGCCAACTTTAAGAACCCGCTCCAAACTGTGAATGCTACAAGTGAAGCCACATTGAACTGATAGTGACTATTGTGGGTGCAAACTTGCACACATTTTAGGATGCAAAAGGTTTCAGCAATACTTTTAAGCAGGTGCACCCAATCCTGTTCCTGGAGATATACCTTCCAGCAGAGTCCATCCCTAATTAAAAACAACCCTATATGATCTGAAGAAGCACTTGATAATTAAAGACAGGTGCATTTGATCAAGGTTGCAGCTGAACTCTGTAGGACAGTAAATCTTCAGGAACAGGATTAGGCATCTCTATATCTAAAGGATTGGGAATTTTTTTCCAAGAAAGCTTCTTAAGGAAAAATGGCTGAGGTATAATGGGAGATGGATGGACAGAGGACAACCCACCCATGAGTGGCTGCTTGTGGGCAGCTCTGGCTGGGATCTGGAAGTGGGGGGCAAGTGGTGGTATTCATTGCTACCACCCTCCACCCACCACTCTGAACTCATCTGCTCTAAAACCACTTCTCCAGGGTCAAACATCTGAGGCTCCTCATCGTTATCAGTGCCATACTCTACATCAATCTCTGCTGAGTATCCGGTTGGTGACTTAATGCGGTGTACAGTCTTGCTAAGTAAATAAGGCCCTTGCGATGTTCCTGCCACCATGCCAGTGAGGTCCGATGTCATCTGGCTACGTAGCAAAGCTTCTCTTCTGAGTCGGTCACCACGTGCTTTGTGTGATGTCCGGCGCAGACCCCGATTTCCAGAACTAGGCGCAGCATACAGGCTACTGTCAGAGTCCAAATCAATCTCTTCCTCATCTAGGTAGTTGTAGGTGTCTACCGTGTCGGAATAGTGCACTTTAGGTCTAGACCTGACTGCTGTTGTCCCTTTGTACCTCACTACAGACTTTTCAGGTTCGGTTTTATGTTTATGACTGTGGTACGGGGGACGTCCACAATGCTGGTTCTTGAAGGAAGAGGTTCGGGAAGGTCTAGCATATGGCTCTGATTCGGTGTTGTCTTCCTCTTCTGTGACCTCTGGGATGCTGAAGAGCTGCTTGTTGTGGTAGGCATGAGGGGGCAGCTTTATAATCTTCTCCAAAACTTCCTCCTCACTGTCAGTTTCCCACATTTCAGACTGAGGTTGTTTTTAAAGAAGCATTGAGGGTTATCAAGGTATGAATGAAGTAATCGATTGAGAATACATGGATGAGAAAATGGTCGGTTTTGTTTGGTGTAAAAAGTGGAAAGAAAAGGAAAACAAGAAAAAGAAAGAAGAAAATTAAAATGCAACAGAGGGAATTTAAAAACAGAAAGAACATAAATGACAAGTATGGCTAGCAAAAATGCTTCATCACACAGCACAATCACAGCCAATCAGAGCATAGTGAGATTTTCAAATAAACAGTTACACTGAGTGAGCCAGAGTACACAATGCAATCCCAATATTGTAACCTGACACTAGCCACATCGCAAAATGACTTAATAGATTCTCCAAATATTCCCTGAGAAACACTAGAGCATTCATATGCATGCACCTACCCTGCCCTGAGCTGTACTATAACCTCTGGGAAGGACGTCAATGCTAGGCTCAGAGTACAGGTCTTCCTCCTCTTCCTCCAGTATGTCAGACAGGTCAGACCGACTGCTCTCTCCATGGTAGTCTGGCGGCGGGTTCATATGACCACCAGCATAAACCTAAATGTGTACAACAGAAACAATAAGGTTAATGTGACACCTGCACAGGTTGTCCAATCCTGCTCCCGGAAGGGTCAACTTTTTGCTAAATTTTAGTACTTGGCCAAACACTTCTATCTAAGTTCTTGATTAGCTGAGAGGGGTGTGTTTAACTGGATTTGGAGCTAAACATTGCAGAACAGTGGCCCTGCTGAAGCAGAACTGAAAAACCCTTAAGGGAGTCAAAATGCATTGTTTCTACGATGCATTGTGACGCAGACGAGAACGAATTGGCATCGGATTAGAGACCATAACCATGTTGTTACCATGATGTGCTTCTGATGTCATTTGACATGGTAGTGTGGCAGCTACTGTAACAGCAAGGGGTATGTAAGTGCAAGAATGGAAATGGGGAGACATGTGCAATTAGCATACTATGGAGAAGGGGGCAGATGTGCGAGCATGTAGCATACTAAGGTGAGGGGGTAAGATGCATGTGTAAGTAGCATAATATAGAAATAGGGTCAATATGCATGTGTGAGTAGCATACTATGGAAGGAGAGGGGGGACTCGTGTGCAAGTAGCATACTATTGCGAGGGAGGGTAAGACACATGTGCAAGTAGCATACTATGGTGAGGGGGAGTGAGATGTGTGTGTGAGTAGCATACTATGGAGGGGGAGGGGCGAGACGTGGGTAGAATAATATGGACTGGGGGGCAAGACGTGTGTGCAAGTCACATACTATGGGAAGGGGGACACTTGAAAGTAGCATCCTATGGCAAGGGAAGGGGCACATGTGTAAGTAGAATGCTATGGCAAGGGTGGGGGACACATGTACAAGCAACAAACTATGGCGAGGGAGGATGAGATGCGTGTACGGGTGGCACACTACGGTGAGACAAGTGTAGGTTCACACCCCTACCCTTTCACTACGACAACATGTACTGGTCATCTAAACAAAGACAATACAACAATTTTACGCATGAGAAAATGATTCCGACACTGACCTTTAGTCGAGGCTGAGGTACAGGCTGAAGGAACTCCTCAATGGACACAAGCCTGGTGTTTTCCCTATCCTCATCAGGCTCAGATTCAAAGGGCGACGGAGCCGGAGGCCTTAGCAAATGTGTAGATGTGACATCAAGAGGGTCGTTTGGGATGCTGACT